GCCAGGACCCAGGACTCATTCCCACTGTGCCGGCCGAGACCCTAGCCTGGTGTTCGGTCTTCTGTCCAGTTGTTTAGGTCATGACAGCCTCTGGCTTTTTATATATTAGGATGGGCTCAATAGGAAAGTTTTGAAAAGCGATCTAGCATTTCACCCAGTCAACAACAACAACAACAAAAAAATAGAATAATACTATGAATACCTACAATTCCTTTGCTAGATTCAGATTTTGCTGCATTTGTTTTATTTTCCTTCTCTCCCTCTCTCTGTCCCAATCTCTCCCACCATCCACACATACATTTTTACTGAAATAAGTTGCAGACCCCATGACTTCCACCCATAAATATTTCAGCATGTGTCTCCTAAGAAAAAGTATTCTTCTAGAGAAAAGCGATGGATTTAATGTTGTTTTTTTTTGTCAATCCAGAATGCTTTATTAAATGAGACTTCCATCATCAACTATTACACTTTTCATTTGTTTTGCTTATTTTTCTTTTTAAAAAATAAATATTTATTGTTCAGATTATTACTGTTATTCCTCTTTTGCTCCCATAGCTCCCCTCCACTCAGTTCCCACCTCCCCCCCTACCCTTACCTCCCCCCCACCACTGTCCTCATCCATAGGTGTACAATTTTTGTCCAGTCTCTTCCCACACCCCACACCCTTTTCCCCCCAAGGATTGTCAGTCCATTCCCTTTCTCTGCCCCTGATTCTATTAGATTCACCAGCTTATTCTGTTCCTCAGATTTTTTATTCACTTGATTTTTAAATTCACTTGTTGATAGATATGTATTTGTTGTTCATAATTTTAAAAAAATTTATTTTATTGATTTTTTTACAGAGAGGAAGAGTGAGGGATAGAGAGTTAGAAACATTGATGAGAAAGAATCATTGGTCAGCTGCCTCCTGCATACCCCCCCCCCCACTGGGGATGTGCCCACAACCAAGGTACATGCCCTTGACTGGAATCGAACCTAGAACCTTTCAGTTCAAAGGCCAACACTCTATCCACTGAGCCAAACCGGTTTCAGCCATAATTTTTATCTTTACCTTTTTCTTTTTCTTCCTCTTAAAGAATACCTTTCAGCATTTCATGTAAAACTAGTTTGGCGGTGATGAACTCGTTTAGCTTTTTTAAAAAATTTTTTTATTGGTGAAGCTCTTTATCTGACCTTCAATTCTGAATGATAGCTTTGCTGGGTAGAGTAATCTTGGTTGTAGGTTCTTGCTACCCATCACTTTGAATATTTCTTTCCATTCCTTTCTGGCCTGCATAGTTTCTGTTGAGAAATCAGCTGACAATTGTATGGGCGCTCCCTTGTAGGTAACTGTTTTTCTCTTGATGCTTTTAATATTCTCTCTTTGTCTTTTGTTCTTGGCATTTTAATTATGATGTGCCTTTTTTCTCCCAAATTATCAAGCCAGTATTACTATACTATTTAAAAAAATGCATTCTCTTTATTGCTTTGTGATACCTATTTATCATAAATTATTCTATATTTATCTATTTCTGAGCTATCTAATCTCATGTTGATGTCTATGTAACTATGGGGCATATTTATTTTTACCCTGTAGTTTGAATATTTCCCAGTGGATAGTATATATTTTATGGATCCAAATTGATATTTGGCAGAATAGTTGGGGCAAAAGGGAAGGAACAAATAATTACAATTTTTATCTAGGTTTTTCTGATCACCTGTTTCTGTACTGTCCTTGCAACATTTAATATATTACTTTGCTTCTTCAAATTTTATTTCAAAATTGAGGGAGGAAATTTAAAAATAAATGATAAACTTCTAAATAAAAGTTTATTTTCCTTTTATGTTAGAGGCAGAATTATGATTTTGATTAGTTGGGCAATTTCTTATTTATCTATCCATCTATTTATTATTAATTTTGGTGAAGAGTCTCTTCCTAGTCAGATTGCAGCTCTTTTAACCACAAAGATAATGCTCTCCTTTTAATGGCCCTGAATATTGTGTTCTGTGTATTGGCAAATATCTTAGCTTAATAGGTGGGTGGGGCTCTCAGCATAGATGTTACATAAGGAATTGTCACCTGCTTTTAGAGTTAGTCATCCCCTAAAGTCAAAGGAGTCACTAAGGCATTATGAAATCAGGAGGCTTGTGTGGCAGCCCTGACTCCAACACCAATTAATCACCTGTCTGGACCTCAGTTTCCTCACCAGTAGAATAATAGGTTGGCCTAGTGACCCCAAATATCTTTCCCATACTGACATTCTGTGATTCTCTTTCCATGAGATGTTACCACTAAGAATTTTTATTTTCATGTTGCCTTCTAAAATTCAAAGACCAGGGAAGTAAAAGCAAAAATAAATGAATGGGATTATATCAAAAAGTTCCTGCACAACAACAGCAACAGCAACAAAAACTGTCAATAAAACAAAAAGGCAACCAACCCAATGGGAGGAGATCTTTATAAACAACACCTCTGATAAGGGGGTGTTATTGAAAACCTATAAAGAACTCAACAACAATAATAAAACGATTCAATTAAAAAACAGGAAGAGGACCTGAACAGACAAATAAATGGTCAACAGACATATGAACAAAATGCTCAATTTCAATGGCTATTAGAGAAATGCAAATCAAAACCACAATATGGTACCACCTCATACCTGTTACAAGGGCTATTATCAACAAGACAAGTAATAACATGTATTGAAGAGGTTGTAGCAAAAAGAAACTCAAACACTGCTGGTGGAAATGTAAATTAGTGCAGCCAATAAGCAAAACAGTATGGAGGTTTTGCCAAAATTAAGAATAGAGCTACTATATTATCCAGCCACCCCTCTTTAGGGAGTTTAGGAAAAAAAAATTGAAAACATTTATTTGTAAAGATATATGTACCCCTATGTTCATTGTAGTATCATTCACAGTGACCAGTACATAGAAACAACCAAATACCTTCGAAAGATGATTGGGTAAAGAATCACACACACACACACACACACACACACACACACACACAATGTAATATTACTTAGCCATAAGAAAAGATGAAATACTGCCATTTGTGACAACATGGATGAATCTTCAGAATATAACTTGGGAAAAGTCAAGAACTATAATATTTCACTCATGTGGGATATAAGACTGAGAAAGAAAAACAAACCATAACTCATAGACACGAGCAACAGTATGATGGTTACCAGAGGGAAAGGAGGGTGTGGGATGGGGTAGAAAAGGTAAAAGTGTCAGATATGGTGACAGGAGGAAACTTGACTTTGGGTGGTAAACACAATGTCATATACAGGTAATTTATTATAGAATTGTACTCTTTAAACCTATATAATCTTATTAACAAAGGTCACCCCAATAAATTCAATAAACTTTTTTTAAAAAGCAAAAGAGAAAATGAAAACCAGAGTTTAATTAAACATTTTTGAAAGCCATTGGTGGTGCCATGATCATATGTTATGCTGCCTTAGTCTAACAGTTCTTAATTAGAAGTGTGCATTAGAATTACCAGGGAACATTTAAAATATATGCTTCTATGTAGGTGCATATATACTATGACAGCTAGGATAAAAAAGACAGATAATAAGTATTGGTAAGGATGTGGAGAAATTGGGACTCTTGTACATTGCTGTGGTAATGTAAAATACTGTCATTGCTTTGGAAAGTAGTGGTGGTTCCTCAAAAGATTAACTTGACCCCACAATTCTACTCCCCATATTTACTCAAGTGAAAACAGGTGTTCAAACAAAACCTCTATGAATGTTCATAGCAACTCTGTTCACAACAGCAAAAAAGTAGAAATAACCCAAATGTCCATAAACTGATGAACAGATAAATAAAATGTGGTAAAACTATACAATAGAATATTATCTAACTATATATATAAAAGACTAATATGCAAATTGTCCCCTCGGGAGTTTGGGAGACCAGGAGTTCGATAGCGCAATACGATGTACACTGACCACCAGGGGGCAGCGAGGAATGAAGGAAGGCTCCAGCTGGCAACTATGGAAGGGAGGCCCTGTTCACTGGCCAGACCTAGGGATCCTACCTGTGCATGAATTTTGTGCACTGGGCCTCTAGTTTGGCAATAAAAATAAACGAAGCACTGGATACATGCTATAGCATGGGTGAACTGTGAAAAGATTCTGGTTAAACATGAATATCAACTATGAAGCTGAGGAGGAGACTGAAGAAGAATGGGCAGCTCTTAGATGAGCAGAAATTAGAGGAAATCACTTATGAAGCAAGTCATAAGGGTCGGATTGAGTTTGGTGTGTGGGTCCTGAAGCCAATAGCTAGTTAAAAGCAAATAGCTAGTTAAAACCATTTACAAGCCAGAGGTAGCAATCTCTGAGTGGCTTCGGCTGCTGGTGATGCCCAGGATGATGGTGTTGTCATGTGCGGATGACATGCAACTAGGCTGGATCACGTATGTTCTGATGCCAAATTGGGCCACAGCAAAACCCCAGGAAGGAAACCGAGAATCTGAAAAGTATTATTTTGGAAGTTTTTTGGGTCTGTGGCCTGAAAGTCCCACAGATTTGTCTGCTTATCCAGAAGTTGGAAGAAAAATAGTAAGCCTTGGCTTGGGTTGTGTATGCCTATGTCTGCAAGCAGAGCTGTGTGAGAAAGGGACATACCATCCGATCCTGGCCTCTGCATTTAAACCATAGTGGGGAGTAGTGGTGAGGTGAAATGTGGATCTCTATGACCAGAACCTGTTACTTATTCTCCTGCTTCCAAGGATGGTTCAGATTCTTGCTTTCATTTGTCCAGATCTCTGAGAACGAATTTTGAGTGTGGCCAAGTGAGTTGGGAATATTGCACGAGTTGCCCAAAGTCTCTAGTCAGATGACAGAACTAATGTACAATCTATGTTAGAGTCCTTCCTCATATTGCTTATTTTGGCCCTTGGGCTAAAATTGCAAGGCTTTTAGAGTGAGCCTAATATTAGAAAATGCATCATCCCTGTTTTCCTTTCTGGTAATTACCATCTTTGCTTCCATTACTTCTAGCAAAGGATTTTCTCTCCAGGCAAACTTTGTTAGAAAACTCAGCCACTGGATCCACCAGCTCAGTCATCCCAGAGCCCGGAGCCCGGCTGCAGGCCTACATAGACAGCCACCCTGTGGTCATCTTCAGCAAGTCCACGTGCAAACGCTGTGCTGAGGTAAGGCTTAACCTCAAGCGGTGGTAACAAGTAGTTGAATTATAGAAATCTGACAGACTTTTGAGCTCAGGTGTAACTTGCTTCAGAATACTTGAGGAGTGTTGATTTGAGAAGAAAATATTGCTTGAATCATCTTTTTCTGAGCCTTTGTAAAGCACTCGATGTTTTCAGACTGTCAGGGTCAGGGTCAGGGTCAGGGTTAGGGTCAGGGGAAGTTTGGGTTGGGGAGTTAACCAAACCAAATGATTTGCTACTCTTTTAGGCATGTCTATAGGGAATACTTCTTAAGGAGCTATTACTCAGGGCAGTCTGAAGTTTTGATAAATATCTCCTCATGCTTATTATGGGGAAATGATTTCACAAAGAATCAACTGTGCTTCCTACTTGAATCTTAACCTTAGATGATGAGGGAGAGAAGCTCAGCGATGACTCTGATTTCACTTTAGCATGAAGGTGAGAGTTTAAAGACGAACCTGTTTTGGTGCTTTAGAGGAGGGTTGAGGGAGCTTGAAGGTTGCTAGAGTTTAGCTTTAAATCATACTCAGGATAGCTCTAGGACTAGACACAATGGACTCTCAAGTAAGCATAACTGGCCATCTGTCCAGCTGAACCTGGAGGGTAATGTAGTAAGTTCAGTTTTCTCTCAGCTTGTTTGTCTCTCTCCTTATTCTCCAGCTCTCTGGGAAGTTTAATTCAGAAGCCTTTTATTCTGAAAGCCTTATGAAAAGACAGGCTTTTTTGACTGTGTGTGTGTGTGTGTGTGTGTGTGTGTGTGTGTGTGTGTGTGTGAGAGAGAGAGAGAGAGAGAGAGAGAGAGAGAGAGAGAGAGAGAGAATGTGTGTGCGTGTGTGTGTGTGTGTGTGTATGTGTGTGTGTGTGTGTGTGAGAGAGAGAGAGAGAGAGAATGTGTGTGTGTGTGTGTGTGTGTGTGTGTGTGTGTGTGTGTGAGAGAGAGAGAGAGAGAGAGAGAGAGAGAGAGAGAATGTGCGTGTGTGTGTGTGTGTGTGTGTGAGAGAGAGAGAGAGAGAGAGAGAGAGAGAGAGAGAGAGAGAGAGAGAGAGAATGTGCGTGTGTGTGTCTGTGTGTGTGTGTGTGTGTGTGTGTGTGTGTGTGAGTGAGTGAGTTCTATTTTTTCAAAGAGAAATAAAGGGAAGGTGGGCAAGCGGTGGAAATAGTTAAGATAGGCAGAACCTTTCATGGAGTTTCTCATTGAACATGCTTGTGTCATTGGCACCCGAGGGTTAATCCCTCCTTCCGTAACATATTAGGAGTAGATTTGCATAGAGATAGGAGATACAACTGCCATCGCTAGGGGTTTAGTCAAACTGAGAAGGCAGGACAGAGGCTTAAAAAGAAAAAGGACTTGATGTAACTCAAGCTAAATTCTAAATGATGAATATAAGTGATAGAGAACTTAGAAGAGGGTTGGATGTTAGAAATCTGAGGTGTAATTCCTGGCCTCCGGGGGCTAACCACCTAGCTCTGGTGATCGTGTCCACTTTTGAGGCCCTTGTTTGTTTAATCTTTAAGTGAGAGGCTTGGACTACCGGTAGTTGACTTCTGAGGTCTCCTTTAGCTCTGAAGCTATGTAGTTGTTCAATCTTTTCTGTTTAGCTGGGACTCTGAACTCAGAGTTTGAATCTTGGCTCTGTGATGTATTAGCCCCGTGACCTTGATTAAGGTTATTTACCTGCTGTGCCTGTTTCCTCTCCTGTAAAATGTGTATAATAATATACCCATCTCATCAGTTTGCTGTGAGGATTAAATTCTTTAAAACTTCCAAAAGCCACGCAACATGCCTGGCACATAGTAAATGCTATATAAATGGTGGTTAAACAAAAGAACTTGCTCTTCCTGTTTTCCTATCAGGAACTAAAAACCTTGGATGGTGATCCTCCTCCCATCAGCAGAGAAGCTTGGCTAGACAGCAGTCAGCAGACATCTGACTGAATTCCAAGTACAATTAGTCCTATTACGGAGGGGTTACTTTTTCTAGGCTGGCCTCTCCCTTCCGAGCTTCGTGCTCATGGTGGATGGTGGAAGGAACACGTGCAGTTACAAGAGCTCAGTTCTCATTTTAAATCTCAGTTTCCTCAACAACAAACTAAGGATGATGATGCCATCTGATCTATTGCCTGTTAAACACACAGCTTTATTACGAGGCCCCAATGATTTCAGTTCTAGGTGGAAGTACACACTTACGTTAATAATAGCTACTAATGATAGGCAGTTAGGGCTATCATGTTTGAGTGCCTACCATGTGCCATGCATGTTTTGGCCGCTTCACTTATATTTTAAAAACACCTTTAAAGAATAGGACAATTCCATTTTTTTTTCTTTAAAATATATTTTATTGATTTTACACAGAGAGGAATTGAGAGGGACAGAGAGTTAGAAACATCGATGAGAGAGAAACATCAACCAGCTGCTTCTTGCACACCCCCCACTGGGGATGTGCCCGCAACCAAGGTACATGCCCTTGACCGGAATTGAACCCGGGATCTTTCAGTCCGCAGGCCAACGCTCTATCCACTGAGCCCACCGGGTCCCGGCGGACAATTCCAGTTTTGATGCTGCTCTAGTTCCGCAGTGAAGGGTTGGGCCAGTGTGATCAGCATTGCTACTAATGAGAGGCAGTTAGGGCTCCTGTTCCCTTAGATCTCTTCGACCTGCAATGACTCTCATCCCTACTGTCTCATCCCTGGATTCTACTAACTTCATTTCCTAGCTCTCCTCCTCGTCTCTGAAAAGGCAAAGCCTGGCCTTTTTCTTTTTCTGTTTTACTTAATTAAATATGCTCTGGGAATGAACAACTTAACCTTAAAAATCCTGTGCCAGGTATTTGTAAAATTTTAGTAATTTTATTTACTGCCCTTACCTGAAAAATTTCTGGATATGCCAAGTCTTCTGAACAGACATCTGGTTTTATCTTTAATAAATACCAGTTCCTTAGCTTTTCCAAATACATAATATAAAAGCTATTTCCAGATTTGTGCCAATTGATATGTTATTTTCAATATTTTTGGCCATGAAGGATGGTTAGGGGTCGTCTCTCCTGGTCAAAATGGTGGTTTTCTTTTGTGGGAGTACAAGTTATATACTTGGTTATTCACATTCATTTTTTTTTTTAATTACCATTAAGTAGAATTTTCCCAGGTTATTTCCTTCTGTTTTGATTTTATCATCTCATTTAACAATCATGATGTGAGTAAATGAGAATAGAGCAACTAAATTTATAATTGCTCTGATTAATTTATATTTCTCTCTGGGATCAGTAATATAATTTGCATTAATTCAAGTTGGGAAATGCCCACAAAGAAATTAATTTCTGTATCAGGTTAGTTTCTCGCTTGTTGCCTAACACATTACCATGTATGCTTTGAATGCATCTTACTGCAAAGGTAAATTCTCCCTTCCCTTGCAGGAAAATATGGTATCTGTTTCTTACAGATATTTCTGTGGGAAGTAGGATATGTAGTTGGAATTATCAGATGATATCTTATTGCAGTTTATCCATTGTTTGATATGCAGATCCACTTCTACCTCTCAATAAAGAGTCTATTTTACAGGCATAGTATTCTTCTACTCTTCTCAATAAGAACACTCTAGAAGCTGGCACTTTTGATATTCAAGACATAGTGAATCTTGGACGGTGGAACCACGCTTAAGATCAGTCAGTGTTCAAATAACCTACAAAATAGCTTTGTGAAGTGGGGTCATGTTTTCTCTGGAATCTAATGAGTGTATTTTCTATATTCACATATTATCAAAATTTGAGGATTACTTTTAAGATTTGCTTTTAGGGCTTACTCTCTAAATCTGGAAAACTTGGTGTTTTTGTAACAAACTGCAAATGGTTTATTTCTAAACCTAAGTGGCTAAGAAATCTAGTAAGTCCGTGATTTTATATGTGTATGAACTTATTTTTAGTCTTAGAAAATGATCATTGTAATATGAATTGTCTTTTATCCAGGTGGTCTCCCAACTATAGCTTTCCTGCCCTGTCGTTAAAGTACCTCTTTACTTACCCCATCACTCTTCAGAAGGATTCCTACTTTTTTAAGTGTACACTGCCAGGGAAAGCTAATTTGACTATTGTGGGATATCTTTTTTCCCTCAGGATTGCAACATAATGTTTTGGAAACATTAAGTATTCCAGTGGCTTGTTAAACATGGTTAATATTAAACCCATTTTTATAGTGGAGTTGACTGACTGAGTCAATTAACATGTAAAACATATTTTATGAAATCATACAGGTGATTTATTATTGAAAATAGAATATAGCCTTAACTGGTTTGGCTCAGTGGATAGAGCCTTGGCCTGAAGACGGGAAGGTCCCGGGTTCAATGCCAGTCAAGGGCACATGCTCAGGTTGCAGATTCAATCCCCAGTAGGGCATTCAGGAGGCAGCCGATCAATGATTCTCTCTCATCATTGATGTTTCTATCTCTATCTCCTCCTCCTTTCCTCTCTGAAATCAATAAAAATCTTTTTTAAAAAAGGAAAATAGAATAAAATCAAGAGACTTCAAATACCCCTTTAAATAGCATTATTCTCACAGGAAGATTCCTGTGAGTTATATAAAAACAAATTGGAAAGTTTCCAAAGGAAAAGACTGAGAAAGAAAATAACAAAGCTGGATAAGAGACTCTGTTGTTGATTTTTACTTTTAAAAAATATGACATTCTCCCCTTGTTTTTTCAACTTCTTGCAGGTAAAGAAGTTATTTAAATCAATGTGTGTTCCTTATTTTTTGCTGGAACTTGATCAGGCAGGTAAGATTCTGTTTAATATGTTAATTATATCTGCTGACTGTGCACTTCATGTAATTTATTCTTTCTGGCTTTAATTTTTCTTCCTTGAGGATTTTATTATTTAGTGAACTCATACCACTTGATTTCTTTATTGTTACCATTTAGATGGGGCATTGCCCTGGGACAAATCACATTTCCCTTTAGTCTTTACCTAGTGTATAGCCTTGATTCAACTCTGAGTTTCCTGTTGTTGAAATCGTTCTTCCTGTTCACTTTAAGTCTATTTCACAGATACAGTATTTGCTGGTTTTATGGTAACTTTGTTATTTTTGTAAATTTGTCTCCTTCCTGGCAAATACCAAGTAGTATTTGAGTTAAATATAAATTGAGATGTAGTCAGAAATTGTGGCGAGGACATACAAAGACCTGTAGGGATAAAGATCCACAAGAGGAGTCATTGGGAGATAGTTGCATGGGGCTGGAAATCCCCAGGAAAGAAAGGTTGATGGAGTGAAACAGAGAGTGTCTTCCCAGAATAAGGTGCTCGTGTGTTTTGAGCATGAGTCAGAAAATCCCAAAGACTCATCATCAGTCAGACATTATTAGCAATCGGATCAAGTGCCCGGTTTGTTGTTTCTACAGGAAAAGTAGGCCCCCCATTAGTAAGCATAGGTGATCTTCTGTCTGGAGCTTGGGGAAGCAGAGTCCCGGGCATTTATAATCTCAGCTCAGAATCCATAGGAATAAAAACAATAGGGAAGAGACTCAGCTAGAAAGAGTCATGATAGTTGGGATAGATAGCTCATTTCTAGGGTCAGGAGGAAGGCGGTACGTGTGGGGCAGGAAACTATTATTTATTTGATGCTTCTAAAGACAGAGTCCCTAACCCAGAGAGAATCCGATAATAATTGAATGCCTACTATTTCATAGGAACTGTGCTGGGTTTATACACAATGTTATTAATCCTCACAAGAACTCTGCAAGGAAAACATTATCCATATTTTATAGATGAGGAAACTGAGTCCCAGAGAAGTCAAAGAACTTCCCTGAAGTCACATAAGTTGTGGGTCTGCCATTTGGACACAAGCCTGTCTATTTATTATGTTTGTATTGATTTCAGAGAGAGGAAGAGAGAGGGAGAGAGTGATAGAAACATCAATGACACAAGAATCATTAAACGATGCCTCCTGCAAACCCCACTGTGGGAGACTGATCCTGTAACCGGACATGTGCCCTGACTGGGAATCCAACTGTGACTCCTGGCGCATGGGTGGACTCTCAACCACTGAGCCACACCGGCTGGGCTAGCGTGACCTTTCTATTCTTCCATCATGGAAGGCTCTGACTCCCAAACACTCCATAGCATATGGAAGAAAAATCCCAGTAATTAAAATCTCAGCTGGGCCAAGAAGTAGTCTTTTGCTTGCAACTTGGTATGAGTTAGAAAAAAGCCACAACAAGATGATTAGATGAATAAGGTAAAGCAAATGAACACGTCCATAAAGGATGAGAAGCGTAAGGGAGGTAACATTAAAAGAGGATGGGAAGGACAGAGGTACCAAGCGCTTCCAGAGCATGAGTCCTTAGGCAAGGGGGTTGGCAAAGGTGCTGAAAGGTGGATGGAGGTCAGTAAAGGCAAGTGTCAACTACTTTTGAAAGTTTAATTCTGGCAACACCAATCAGACAGGAAGCTCCTTTTCTTTACCAAAGAAGTGGCTTTGTTCTATAGATCACAACCGGAAGCTCCCACTCAGCCCTTGGGATATGATTGATTAGACCTGCGGTCCACAAACTGTGGCTCACGAGCCACGTGCGGTTCTTTGGCCCCTTGAGTGTGGCTCTTTCACAAAATGCCACAGCCTGGGCGAGACTATTTTGAAGAAGTGGCGTTAGAAGAAGTCTAAGTTTAAAAAATTTGGCTCTCTCTCACCAAAACCGTTTTGGCTCAGTGGATAGAGCGTCAGTCTGCAGATTGAAGGGTCCCAGGTTCGGTTCCTGCCAAGGCCATGTACATTGGTTGCGGGTACATCCCTGGTGTGTGCAGGAGGCAGCCTGTTGATGTTTCTCGCTCATCGATGTTTCTAGCTCTCTATCCCTCTTCCTTCCTCTCTGTAAAAAAAAAAAGAACATATATATATATATATATATATATATATATATATATATATATATATATATGAAAAAAAATTTGGCTCTCATAAGAAATTTCAATTGTTGTACTGTTGATATTTGGCTCTGCTGACTAACGAGTTTGCCGCCCACTGGATTAGACCATCTCTGTAGTTGAAGGATGGGAGTCTCTGGCTATGTGCGGAGCTGATGGCCCTCTGTGTTCTCACCGGTTGCTTCACTGCACATAAGAAGCTATCATCCTTCTCACGCTCACTTACGGTCTGGGACGTGGGCGGCTTGCAGGGACAGATCAGGATTTACAGAGTAAGGCAGCCGTTCTCAAAAAGGTGGTCTGCAGACCCCTGCAGTGCCTAAGACCTCTCAGGGGCTCTCAACGTCCAAACTGTTTTATGATAATGTTAAGATGTTATTTACCACTTTACTCTATTGACCCTTTCATCGATAGTGCAAAAGCAATGGTGGGTGAAACTGCTGGTGTCTTAGCATGAATCTAAAAGGGGGCATCCAACTATACTAGTTTATATTGTAGTCTTCACTACTGCACAATCACAGTAAGAGAAAATGTCAACTTCCCTTACGATTATTCTCATTAATGTAGCACAAATTATTAACTTTACTAAATCTCAACCCTCTGAGTGTACATATTTTTAGTATCTGTGTGATGAGAAGCGTATGAAGTATGATGGTATTTCAAGGAAACGCACTTGTGCGATTAATAGTCTGAGTTGCCAACTGAACAAACTGCTTTTTTCATGGGACACCATATATACTTGAAGGGATGAGAGTCAAACTCCAGTTATTCAGACTTGGGTATTTGGCACACATTTCCCCTAAAAGGTATAAGGTGAATCTATCGCTTCAAAGGAAACCACTATTATTTGTAGTGAATGGGTATTTTCTGAATGACCAATGTATGATCTTACAAAGTCATTCATGGGTAAGAGAGCCATTCAAAGTGTAAGGCAGAGCAGTGGATTTTAATGTGATAGAGTGTAAAAAAACTCATCCACATGGTTTCAGAGTCCACATTGCAGCTAACCTTTAATCAGCTACTACTGATTGAGTTTTGGTGTCATATCAATGGAGAATATCCACAGCATATGAAAAATCTATTAAATATTTCTCCTTTTTCCGACCATCATCTTTGTGACTCAGGGTTTTTGGCATATATTTGTACCAAAACAATATATATCACAATAAATTGAATGAAGAAGCAAATATGAGACTCTTGCTATCTTTTATTAAGCCAGACACTAAAAATCTTGTAAAAATGCCAACCTTCTCACTATATATTTTTGAAAATATAGTTATTTAAATTAAACTATGTTGTTAATTTAAAGAGAATAAATATGATTAAATTTTTTAGTTTTAATTTCTAATATGATATTAATAACTGTGACCCCTATCAATGAAAGTTCTTTGGGGCCCTCAATAATTATTTAAGAGTATAAAGGGGTACGGTTACCAAAAGTTTGATTTCTCATGTTCTAGGGCAAGTAAGAAGTGTGTTATTAATCCCAGCACTTTGGATTCTGAAAAATTTTCTTGCCCCAGTATAGGAGAACACCGACAAACATGTGTAGGGCCTTACACAGGAGAGATGTATGATCTGGTCCATGTTTCCTAGAAGGTTTTAATTTTGGAACTGGAATTGCTGATGTGGTCTCTAAGTTCTGATTTCATGAAAAAACAGCTTCTCTTCTGTTTCTGCTTGGCTCCATGATTTGGTTTTCACACTGGCCTTGGCTACCTAATCTCTCTAGTGCCTAGATCACAGTAGATTCTCAAAGAGCCAGACAGTCAGTTGGTAGAGGTATCCGGTATAGAATCTGGTGGATGCATTTATTCATCCAGCATGTTTACTGAGTGCCTGTTATATGGAGAGTCAGGAGCTAGGCAGATGTGCTTCCTACTCTTATGGAGTTAGTTTTTTTGTTTTGTTTTGTTTTGTTTTTCCCCCAGGAAACCCTCTTTATTTTCCTTTGGAGTTGGGGGCCTGTGGCAACCAGGGCAGTGTAGCATCTCACTGACTTGCTAGTGGAGTGACTCTGCAGTGACTCCTGCATTGGCAATAGTATCACCTCTTAAAGAAAATCAAGACGGAAAACTGCTACCAGGGACCCTTCCCCACCACCCTGACATTTTCCTCTTTTGGGCTGTGTTTTGGACCAGTCTCTATAAATTGAAGTTATTACTTGAGAACAACCAGAGAGATCAACTCAGGCCTATTGAGTTTGGTATTGGAGGGCGGAGCTTAGGACAGGAAGACAAGGGATTAGCGTGTATGTGTGGGCCGTGGTAATAGTCATAAATGCTGCGTGCGCCGAAGGGCATGTTCTCCTCCTCAATCTTCAAAGAACATCGGTGAGGTGGGTAGTGATATCACCTTCTTATGATGAGGAAACAAACTACAGAAAAGTATTAACATGGAGGATAGCTGGCTTGCTAGTAAACCCATCGGTAATTCCCGGTCCCTCCCTGTGCTTCCTCCCACTTACCTCCTCAGAACCTTTTCATGCCTCACCCCACCTGCCTTACGTGTGATGTGCACGGTATGGATGCTATGGTAGGTGTTCCTGGATGTGACGGCGGCTGTGGTCACCAGAGGTGGTGTGCCCTGCCACCGTGCCAGCTGCACCGTGCCCACCCCCGTGGGTGAGCTGCCACTCACTGAGCTCGTTGATAGATGAGGCCTTGTAGCTTGGCCTCAGGTATCTGCCCAGTGGCTTTGATCTGAGTAACAGACAACATCAGTGCAATCATCTTAACTTTGGCTGGCAGCTGCTGCCATTCTTCTGCGGTCAATCTGGAAAGCAGTGTAAGGTTTGAGAGGATTTATGTGATAGTTTGCCAGAATTGTATATCTGGATGCCATATGTCACTAATTT